TTGTTTATATTTGATGATTTAACAAAGGGTAAGATTCTTTCTGCCAAACTGTTATTTTTTATACTGATTGATATACGTTTCAGATGTGCGCAGTTCTTTTGGTTTCATAAGTGTATTGCTATTCATGAATGTTTTATTTTGTCCTTTGAGAATAGAAATAATTAACAGAAAAGGATTTTATTGATGTTATTTAAACTGTGCTATTTCTAACCCTGTAAAACGTTTTCTTTTAAGCAAGAGAGTGTTTTTTACATATTATTTTGACACTGTGTTACTTTTGATATAACTAACTTTAGTATAGTGCTGTTCTATGTTAAAATTACTACAAATCTATTCTGGGTAAGGTGACCTCATTACAACTTTCTAGTTAGTGCCACAATAAAGTGTTTAAATATAAGTGTTTTTAAATAATATAATAAATAATGTTTAAATAATGTTTTTAAATAATAAATAATATTTAATAAAATAAAGTGTTTTTTTCATCGAAGAATTTATTTTAAGTGAAACACGTCATCATGTCGTTTTTTGCTAAAGGACGTAAACAAGATATGTATGTTCTACCAAAAGAACTTGGGGTGAATGTTACGGAACAAATGACAATAGTTGATATTAAGGATGCCATTTTAATGAGTAAGGGATATAATGAAGAGTTCACTAAAGATCTATATTTTAGCATTATTGCGGAACGAAAAGAAATAGAGGAACGTGAATTTAACGAAAGAAAACACCGTGAGGAACGCGAATATAACGAAAGGAAAGAGAGAGAAGAACGCAAGCACGAGCTTGAGAAACTGAAAATACAAGTAGCTAGTTCAGGTGCTAGTCATGATTCCGTACCTGCTTTGAAACTCACTGACACGGATATTCCTAAGTTACAATTACAAACTTTAATTCCTCACTTTAATCCACAAAGTGATGTAATGAGCCTTTTTCTCACCCTATTTGAAAGGCAACTTACAATTTTGAACATACCTCAAGGGAAATGGGTAGTGTATCTCTTTGGTTTGTTACCTAATGACGTTGCAAAATTGATTGCTCGTGATGCACAAGATTATGACAACATTAAACAAATTCTCTTAAAGCGTTTTCAATTGAGTGCTGAAAAGTTTCGACAGTTATTTTCGCAACATCGCAAAAGTCTGGATAATACATGGCGAGATTTTTTCTTTTAGCATAAACTGTTGGACTAACTGTGACAACAAGGCTGCCCTCTGGTAAGTAGCCAGAGAAGTACTTCAGTAAAAGCCAAGGCTCCCACTAGATAGGTTGTACCAGCCTGTTGCTCTGTAATTTTTCTTAAAGTTAAATGTAATGTCCGTGTGTAACTTAAACCTGTAAATAAATATTTGTTACACTATACCGGACTCTTCTATGACCCTATCTAAAACGACCCCTACACAAAGATTTTAACAGCAGCATATCAGTCAGTGTACGTTTAGAATTCCCGATGCAGCGTTAAGTGTTGGCATATATTTTTCTGTTTCTTTCTTTTTTCTTTTGAGGCTTATATCAGTTTATCATATCAATATTCAATTTTCTTACTAAGATGTCTTTACAAAACTTTTTGTCTTTTTATTATTACGTTTTGTGTATTTACTTTATTTATTAAATATCACGTTCTTGGCGCTTACGCCACATAAACTTCGATTCAACAACAAAATCACAAAATAGTTAAAAACAGGATATTTTCAGAATTTCCGATATATATTCTCGTGCGCTGAAGATAAAAATGTTTTATTCCGTACAGTGTTGCCGCCACTGCTCGCCAGCAATTTGAAAGTCAAACGCAGTTTATAGTGCTTCAACGCAAAATGCCGTTTCGAGACTAATATCTCATTCGATACTAACGTCTTTTTGGGGATAATAAAAGCTATTGCCGCAGCTTGGAAATCTGTGCCATTACACCACATAAAAATCGGTTTTAGCAGAGCCTGGGGACATAAAGAAGCTAATCGTTTTGACGAGGTAGATGATGACAACGATACCTCTTCACCTGACGAATGGAATAGTCTACAAGGCGTTGCGAACGCCAGTGTTAGTTTTAATAAGTTTGGGGTTAGTCACAAAGTGTTACCAAGTGTGGTTCAGTGGAATGTGATATACAAGCAGTTGTGTCTGAGATGCAAGAAATGTCATCAGAAGAAAGTGAGGAGGAAAATATCATTCTGCCCAGCCCCCAGGAAATCATACACCAGAACATGCGGAATGTTTTACTGCAACATTTATATTGACCGTTAGTTTTACGGAAGCTATACAGTTGGTCGTGAAGTCACCAGGCATTTTCGTTCCTGACCGCTACAGCACAATACACAGGAATGTTCATTAGAAAAGGGTTTGTGAATGCATTTTTTCAAGTAACAGTATAGCAATGAATGTAGTACTGTAGTGTATTTTGCGACGGCCCACATAATGCATTGCAGTATTTATATAACTATATACTGTAACTGGTTAATAAATAGAAAAATGTATTCAAAAAAATAAAATTTTAGCCCCGGTTAACACGATTTTTTTAGCACGAACTCTTAATGAGACACATTTCGATGGTTTCAGATATTACGTGATTTACGTATAACTAACGTAAAACACAATGCTTGAGCCTCAGAGATCACGCGACTTACGTACAGCTACTGTAAACAAACAAGGTCATTCTTCCTTTTATTTTTTTGCGGAAATGTATCTTATTTTTCGGTCTCTTGAGATTCACGTTTAGAGGGTTGACTGTAATTTTAAGGCTTTTATGTTAAACTAACCAGTTATTATGATTTCGATCTTTACATTCACTACTTCTTTCCGCTTTTCCAACCAGAATGCAAATTAGTTTGGAGTGTATTTAAGCTGAGGGCTTTTGCATATTCAGGGAGAGAGACAGTTTCTGAAACTCACGTAGCGTTGTTAGAATTCTGCCATCTCTAGCTAAATATTGGCTGTTTTTGCAGCAATATTTTGAGCTTACGTGGGATTAAATTACTTGAGGCAGCTTGTAGCTCAGTGCTTTACAGTATAGTCTTGGACTACTGATCAAAGTTTAAAGTTACTTGACTATGTTTATTTATTTGGATCATCTCAAGTCGCGATTGTTGCTAGAGCACAAGCTGTGCCCTTTATGTTAAAAGTTCAGTTTAATATGAGGTTGTTTAAATTTCTCTCAGGGTTTGTCATGCTATTTCAGACATATAGATAACTACAATAAACACATAGAGATAACCTGTCTAGTTAGGTTACAGGACTAAAATTCCAATATCAGACTAAGTATAACCTTAGATACTTTATAAGGGACTATTATTGGCTCAACGAGGCGTCAGCCCAGAAGAGCTATTAGTCTCAAAATGGCGTTTTGCGTCGAATCACTATAAACGGCTGTATCAATTTTCAAATTTTTATAGATTGTTGTATATAAATTGTTGTATCTATTATACAAATTGTCATATATTGTTATTTATGTTACGCGTAATATAAAATCTGAAATCGTTTGGATTTTTCTTTCTAATTAATCAGTTTTTTATGATATGGATCTTTACTGTAACTTCTCCTTTCCGTTTCCTCACCGGAATTTAAATAAATAGTATTCAAGCTGATTTTTCTTCCACCAAAATATCGCGGGGGACACAACGCAAGGAGAAAGCATCATTTTACGAAAACAACGTGAGAGAAAAGAAACCAAGGAAAAATCATCATAGGTCTAAAACATCATGGTATAAAATAGGGTCTTCGAAAATAAAGCGGTTCAAAGCGTTATAAAAACATCTTCATCGAAAATATCGTGGTGGAAAATAAAGCACCTAAAAATCATCGCATAACGATAACATCGCATACGTATTTTTCAGTCTTTAATAGTTGCAAATGCATCTTCGCATAATGATTTTCACCCACAAGTAAGTTACTTTTACCTCTATATTTCATATTTTGTGGTTAATTAACCTTTTTTTTTTTTTTTGGCTAAAGAGCAAGAAGGAAACTTTAACATTCAAAAGCTCAAAAGGAGTAGAAATTTAATGCTACATACACCAGTTAACAAAACTTTATGTATTGGGTCAGTCCATAAATTCGTGCGCATTTATTGGTAAATTTTTAAATATTATAGAAAAAAAATTTAGCATTTTAATCAATTATATATTTTCTTCCATTATCTACAATGTCTCGCCATCTTACAGGCATCATTTTTATGTCATTGCTGGAGAAAGACTCTGGTTTTGATACAAAAAGACTTGAAAGTTCATTGTGTACATCCTGTTTATAATTTAATTTTTTTCCCAGTAAAATATTTTTTTAGGCACAAAATAAGTGAAAATCACTTGGAGCAATATCTGAGGAGTAGGCAAGATGTGACAAAATCTCGCAATTAAATTCACTAATTTTTTGTTGCGTTGTTCGAGCCATATGCGATCTAGCGTTATCATGATGAAACAACACTTTCTTGATATTCAACAATCGTGGGCGTTTTTTGATCAATTCTGAGTTCAATAGCAGGTACAATTTACAGTAGTCACATGTGACTACTTTAAATACAAAATTTCAATGTTTTAAAGTTTTTGAGTTACGCAAGCTAAATACGTACAGAAGTTACGAAGAAAATCCATTTGTCTATCCGTTTTGAAAAAAGGGCCCTTTAATTCGTCTGTACGTACAAATGTCACAAAAATAGTCAAAATGGATGTTTCTTTTGAAATCTGATAACGGAAATTTTTCGCGATTATGATACTTCCTTTACTTCGTAAAAGGAAGTAAAAAATAACATTGCTGTGTATTCATGGCTATACATACATTTATTATTAAATTCTTCCCTAAGCCGATTAAACGCATTTTTGCAACAATTTCGAGTCAATATGGAGGTGGTCGCCACAGAGAAATTATACTTAATACCGATGTTTATTTATATTCTAAAAATATTAGTCTATTCCAGAAGTCGTCGTCTATTAAAGGTATCCGCTATAAAAGTTTTACTGGAATTGCTGAACTTTAACGTGACAGAAAATTTTGCAATTGCTTGATATAGCACTTACCTTTACATTTGAGTCCTTGGTGAATGATGCCATAGAGAAGAGAACCACAATGGTCGCAAAATGCGGGACTTGTATACGTGTGGATCATAAACTGATGCCTCGTCCTTACATCCTGTAATTCAAAATAATTCATGAGATACCTTAAACGCTTTGAATACATACCAATATAAACATGTATATTTGATTTCGAAAATTGAAGGAAGGGAATCAAACAATTTGAACCCCATTAAATGAGCGCTCATTGCTGTTACAAATAATACAAGTAAGTACGCAAAAGAAATGTTTTACACATAAAACGTTACATCAGATTTATTGGTCATAAAAGAATTTCCCCGGTATATGAACCCCTAGCGACTTATCCAATCGAAATGAAATTTCAGATATTATTATTTGAAGGTATGCGCTCGAAATTATGATGATTAAAAAAAAAAAAAAAAAAAAAAAAAACAGAGCTCTTAAGGTTACGGTTACAGCGAAACATTTTTTGAAATTTTCGAATGGCAACACCCACCTTTTTTTTCCGCGCAAATCGATCAACTCATTGAAAAACCATAAGCAAGCGGCGCTAGAATCAAAATCGCCGGCATAAAAACATTTGCAAAGAGGAGCATTGTAAAGGAACAACGACAACACACAGAGAAAAAAACTATGCGAATTATTTATATTCTAAAAAACGCGATTACAATAAGAACATAACAAACAAATGGAGTAACAAGTAGTTATGAGGTATTTCTCCTTCCTTCTTAGCATGCCTTCGTGGTGCTGTGGTCAACACACTCGACGCGCATTTGAGAGACCAATAGTTCGAGTTCCGGCAAGGGCATTGCTCATTTTTCATCGCTCCTACTTAAAAAAATGCCTAATGTCTCTATAGTGGCGCCCGAACTAAAAGGTGGTGAATGAATGATTTGGCGACTGGGTTACCTAAACCCCAGTCGTCCTTTAAAGGGGGAGTATATAAGGTATTTCTCCCGCCTTCTTACCATACCTTCGCGGTGTAGTGATCAGCACATTTGGCGCATATTCCAGAAGTCAGTGGTTCGAGTTCCGGCAAGGGCATTTCACGTCTCTCAGCATCAAAAATGCTAACGTCTCTACATAGTGACGAATAAACTACTGTAACTATCACAATATTATTTCTTTAAAATAAACCTATATTCGAACAAGACTATAATAATATTAATATAGCAGTATCTTATAAAACCTACTTTCCTGTAACTCGAATCGCGCCCATTGTTATTGCTGTGTCTGCTACTACGTAGGCCTCAATTCAGTCATAAATAATTTGAGAAGGAGAATGTGCAGCCGAGTCAATAAAATTGTAGAAGAAATATCAATTCGTGATCGGTCGGTTTTTGTATCAGGTCGGTTTTTGCATTATATATTCAAAAGTTAGCAGACGAAAGTTTGGCATGAGTTTTGCAGGTAGTTTGCGAGGGTTTGTCTTAGTTAGACAAAAAGAATCCTTATGTGGACGAACCCATTTAAAATTAGGAAAAAATGAACCCGATGAGAAACGGGCAAATTATGCGGATATTTTTTAACTTTCGGAACCTGGTGCTGCAAAGCTAGGGTAAAAAAATATGCGAGGAAATACGTAATTTTGTTACAGTTGCTTTCTGGACAATAATTTAACATGCCCAAATGTTAAAAATAATAATATTTAGATGAAATGTTATTAAGATAATAATTTACTAATCATACAAGGAATAAAATTCTGAAGGAAAAAAAAAACTTACAAATATCCCATGTAAGTGTCACTTACTCAGCTAGCCATATAGTGACCAATTATTATTCAGCTAGCCAATTATAACTTAGCCATTCAATTATAAACCAGCTAGCCAGTCAGTGGCCAATTATGATACAGCTAGCCTATTATGACTTAGCGACCAATTATCACTCGGCTAGCCAATTGTGACTCAGCTAGCCATACAGCGGCCAATTATGATTCAGCTAGCTATGCATTGGCCAAGACTCAGCCACATGATCCAGCTAGTCAATTATGACTCAGTTAGCCATACATTGGCCAATTATGATCAGGGGAGATTATTTTGCCAAAACGTTTAGCTTCTGAATGCTTTCAGAATAAATTTTTACACTTGTATGACAAGAAAAATTTATAAAACTACCAACAGGGTACTTACGTCTGAATCGACCCCTTTGTCGGCCCCTGGACAACTGAAAGTGACGAACTCGTGGCATCTTTTGTGCACAACGAAGCTACAAACTGGAAGAAAAATATTAACAAATTAGAACGGAATATAAACTTGAAAGTTATTTCAAATACATAGCCAGTTGAATGAATCAAAACACACATCACATAAATTCAATTCGTTTCCCTTCTTAACGTTTTCATCGGTACGTATCGGTACAAGCGCACTTGAAAAATAAGAAATAGCATAGCCTTCTTCACTGATTACTATAAAAAGAAATTCTTGACAGATTGCCTGTACAAGGTGTTAAAATATGAACAGATTTTAATGAACCAAATTTAATTTATTGAATACAAAGTACCGACTTACATACTGTTTCTCTGTGGCATCACCTGTCAGTGCAATGCATGTTCTTAAAAGCGCAAAATATTTCATTATTCGGCATACAGTTGACGCTGCTTAATATGAACGCCGTTAATATTATAATCGAATCCCGAAGTTTCGCTCATTTTTCTACACGAAAATGGAAAATACATCGCTTATTGTGATCAACATTTCGGTTAACATGATGAAAATAAAATACAGCAATTTTTTTTAACTAAACTAAAGTTACCAAATAATGTCAAATTAGGTAATAAAATTGCCAAGTGTCAGAAAACTTTTGCCAAGTAAGGATTATGTCGCCAAACAGCTTGAGTTCGATTTCAGTCCACTATTTAAAATTACGCAAATAAATAAATTTATAAATAAAATAAATAAATAATTTTAAAAAAACCTTAGTTTGATTTCGGTTTTGAATAATTCTATCGATTTTAAGGATGATTAGATCCCTTTTCTACAGGAGCAACAAATTAGAATTAGTATAATCCTTATTAGGTATACATTCATAAGATCATGTACGTGGGATTTCCACAAACTGGATAGATTTTTATGGAATCTCAGCACAAATATCTCCAAACTTTATATATAGCTCTAGAAAATATATCTAAAATTTTACAGAATTTTGCGTAAAAACTGGGTCATACTTCTAAAGGATACTAAATATGTTTTTTAACACTGAATGTTTTTACAGAATTCCCCCCTCCCAATAAAACGTTTTCATAAGGGAATAGCTCATAGAATGTGACAAAATTAAATTAACACATCCGGATAAACTATTATCGAATAATTTTTTTAATCGGAGCAAAGTAGGCAAATAAGATATAAAATCACTAAATAAGTTTAAATAGATTACAAAACTTCTCAAGAATCAGAACAATGTCACCCAGTAGGGAACTATGTCGCCAAACAGTTTGCTTTCGGTTTTAATCAACCACTTAAAATTAGCCAAATAAGCAGTTTTCGCCTGGCTTAGATTTTGAATAATTTTATCTTTTTTGAGCATGATGGAACACAAATTCCTTTCACGAAGCGAAAAAAATAAATTCTGCACAATATTTTTTCCCGTTGCCCTTTAAAAAAAGAAAAGAAAAGAAAAATCCATTGAAATGTTCTACGCTAAATTTAGGTTGCTTTTTTTTGCCTAATTTTAAATTTTACGTTTGAATGTTGTTTTCCAGTGAATGAGGATTGTACTCCGAATATGAAGATAGGGGTACAGCATCAGTCAAACAATTTCCAGAAATGTTATTCAAAATTTAATTTTAAATTCTATGTATTCTTCTTTTTTTTTTCGCAATGTAAGAAATAATCACACATTCAGGCAGATCTGCATTATTTACTTTCTTTAAATATAATATACAGGACGATAATATTTGGTGGGAACAATCTGAAAAGTGATACAACGCATTTAAGCTTTTCAACGCAAAATTCCATTTCGAGATATCCCATTCGGGACATTCATATTCCATTCGGGAGTAACGTGAATTTTGGGCTAAAAACTATTACAATAATTAATTTATATGACAATTTATACGAAGATTAATCTTATTTTTAGAGAAAATTCATTTAAAATTAGCCATGTGATACGCCAATCTAAAAAACTGTAACTACAGGAAAACTATTCCGAAAATTTTGAAACCTAAAAGTCACATAAATTTACTGAAAGATAAGCTGAACTCGCTGGTGACGAAACGCGTCCTTCGCGATTTGCTGAAATTTCAGAGAAATGAAGGATGCGACAGCTGCGAGATAAATGACTTCAAATTATGATTGAAATATGACAGTGATTGGAGCTATAAATTTTGACGCGGAAGGAAATTACTGGAGATCGTTTAGCCAAGGACAGGGAGGAAAATTGACCAGCCTTTATTACACTAGCCTTTATTACACTTACTAAAATTTAAACTCCGTGGAAACTTTGCTGAGAATATGACAGAGCGCCGCTTCATTTGTGATCACATTTGCCTACGGCAGTTTTCAACACATTAACCGAATGCTTCAAAAATCGCAAAATGCTTTCAAAATAGTAATGAAAGTTAACCAATTTAATGTAAATAAAAATAAATAAATAATAATAAAAGAAAGAAAATCTGAAAAGATTCAGATTTTAACATTCTACAAGAGAATTTGTTAAGATTCCTTATGCCTCGCAAAGCATTGCAGGTTACCAAACTGCACCTGGACTCAATCCTGCTAACACAATGTTTTTGTCTTTTTAGCTTTGTTATTAAGTATCGCTTCCTTCGCAGTTACGCCACATAAAATTCAACAGTAAAATCCCAAAATATTTAAAGACTGCATATCTATAGAATTCCCGTACGTTTATTAGGGGTTGTCAAACTTTTTATATTTTGCTGTGTACTTTCGCTTCTGTTTGCTTTCATTATTTTATATTCGCTGCATATTTATATTTATTTATATTTGCTGCATATTTCTATTTTCTATATTCTATTTATTTTATACTGCTGCATATTTCAACATTTCATGGAAACTTGTTACTCGTGCGGCCAGCCGTTTAAAAGAATTACAATTAAAAAAAAATCTGATGTGTACACCACATGACTTCCTTGTACGGAATATTAAATTATACGCATTTTTTCTTGCATTTCATTTACAATATTGCCTGACAATATTGCAAAGAGAAAGGGATAGTTTCAGTTTAAAGTTTTGAATACTTATTTTAATCATTCACATTAAGTTAACAAGTTCTGAATTAGTATATACAATGAATATATAAATTAAAGGAAAAAAACAACAACTAAAGAAATAAAGTTCATAACTTTTGGCTAGCTGCTGTATAAATCTTTTGTTTAATCTAGATAATTATAGCTTTTTACTAATATTTTTATAAAGAAAAGGATTTCTTTATATTATGTGATTCATTACACACAGAAATTTTTGTAAAGCAAAAGCAGACACAACAGTTTATTGATTTTTAACTTAATTAACTAATTCCACATTTTAAATAAATAATAATAAATATTTAAAAAAATCTGAATGCTTTCAAATTTTATATTACACCCAAAGGGACGATTTTTTTAACGTTTTGTGTCTTTCCTTTATTTATTAAATATCACTTTCTTCGCACTTAAACCATAAATTTCAATTCGACAGCAATATCGTAAACTAATTTAAAAAGAGCATATCTATCCGATACACAGTCTCGTGCGCTGGAGATAAAAATGTCCCCCCCCCGTACAGAGTTGCCATTGCTCGCTTTGAAATCGTTGAGTTAGCAAATCAAAAATTCGTTAAAGTTTTACAAAATATAAAACAGATAATAAAATAAATTCCAAATTAGGGCTTCCAGTTGCCCATATTCGGTGGAGAATTACGTTATTCAAAATTGGATAGCTCAAGTACCGTTGTTTTATCACACTACGAGAAAAATACATACACTTATGCAGATTCTTCATTATTTAACTTTAAATATAATACAGGGTGATAATATTTGGTGGCAGCAATTTGAAAAGTGATTCATTCACACTTTTAAAGCTTTCGACGCAAAATGCCGAAACAAAATTAATAGCCGTTCTAGGCTAACGCCCTTTGCCTAATAATAATAATAGTGGTTAATAATAAGTATAACAAAAACTTTTCATTTTCTTCTAAAAATGCAAATTAAAAAAAAAAAAATTCTAAACATCTTAATTTAATGCTTGGAGTCGAAAAAAAAAAAAAAAAGTTTGGTTTCATTTATGCTCGTCTGGCATGCTTATTCACAAAGTTTAAATGATTTTTTACCATTCAAAAATACTAACTCAGTATTTGAAAATATTGAAAAACAGCGAAATGTTTCATTTAATTATTCTTGGTTTTGAAGGTGAGGATGGCGATGATTTCTAAACCGGTTTAAAACAGAATCCTAAGTTTTTAGAAATCAGATAAGATGCTAATTTTATATATTTAAAAACGTAAATTTTAAGATTACAGTGACACAATCCTTAGAATGTTGAAATAAGCTTAATTATTAATGAGCTAATTTGATGATTTGCATTCTGTAAACTGCTTTCGTGTTAGTTTCAAGACATTGTGAGATGAATGAGTTTAAAGCATAAGTTGCCTAGCTGTTAGCGCAAAAGGGATGTTGGTCCCGAATGGGATATTAGTTTTGAAACGGCACTTTGCGTTGAATCAATAAAACCGGCATATCGTTTTTCAGATTGCTGAAACCAAATATTATCGCCCTGTGTTATACTTAAATAAATTAAATAATGAAGAATGCGCATGTATGTTTCTCGCATTGTGAAAAAACAAAGGAACCTAGAGCTATCAGATTTTAAATAACGTAGCCCTCCATTCGAACATGGATACTTTTGAGTTAATTTTATTACTATTTCATATTTTGTAAAATTTTAACGAATTTTTGATTAACAAAATTAACCGTCTCAAATCAAGCAGTAGCAACACTGCACGGAATGAAACATTTTTATCTCCAACTACCGACACTGTTTATCTGAAATTATAAAGATATGCTGTTTTTAATTATTTTGTGATTTTTGTTGTTGAATCGAATTATATGCGGCGTAAGCGCCCAAAACGGGATATTTAATAAATAAAATAAGCGCACAGAACGTTAATAATAAAAAGACAAAAAAAGTTTTGTAAAGCGACCTTAGTAAAAAAACCGAACAAAAATGATGAACTGAGAAAAGGCCAATTCAAAATAGAAAAATGTATGGCAACACTTAAC